AGGGAAAAGCGAGATTTATTTTTTGAGATTCTCAAGTTTGGCAATACCTATGAATGAGTAAAATCAAAATCTGTCATTTTCATACTGCTTGTCTGAGGGGCTCATCGACTTACCTATCCAAAAACAAACAGGTAAAAAGAATTCGTGAACCGTACTCACTTGCAAGCCAAATTGCTTTTAAAGGAGGACTCAGCTGGAGCGCAGCGGAATCACGTTTATCATATTACTTGAATGCATGTGCCGCACAAAGACTATTGCAGACTTCATCTTCTAGATATCTGATGTATACTAGAAAAAAGGAATTAATTTGAGGTTCCATCAAGTCTCTAGTTAGAAAAACAATTCCGTTTGCCAAGGTTTCGCAAATTGCGCACAATCTGATGTCCAGGTGGAACATAAAGTGGGTGGAGGCTCTTGGACTGCGCATACCTGATCAGTCTAAGAAGGACAAACTCTTCCGTCACCAATCACCTTTTAGCAGTTTTGAAAAACTGTGTTCTGTCGTGAACTGACTGGCCGATTGGTCGAAATCCAAAAATTGTTTTGGCACAGTGTGCTAAATTCATTTTATTGCCCCGATGAATTTGGCCCATCATCTTCTGAACGAGAGGAATTCAAAGATAGCTGATGATTTATTGTATGCATTAAAAATTCATAACTTGTACGTAAGGGCCGTGAGATGTTGACGATAACAAACTGTCATAATTGGTTTTGATGCCGTAAAAAAGATTACTTTTCAACAAATTCCCGAAAGGAGCTGCTGCGTGGTTAGATTGTAACATCTCAGAGGTATTCGTGGACTGCTACAAACATTATGATTTTGTTCGACCATGAGGTCCAAACCAGTTTATGGCTGACAAATTGATTGCATGCAGTGGTGTAATTGTCCTTACTTAGAGGGTTATTCATCTGGAGCAGTGCACATTATTTTGTAAAAGAAGGATACCTAAGCGTCCCATATCGTAAACAGCGAGACAGGGTGAATGTACTCTTTCGACATATGACAACCCCAAATCGCGTCGGATTTGAAAACCGATCGTTAGGACTACAAAACGGATTGCTGTGTTTGCATTCCCTTCACCCAAAATGCATCCCCATATTGGTCTCTTTCGACATACGACAATCCTAAATCGCGTCGGATTTGGAAACCGATCGTTAGGATCACAAAACGGATTGCTGTGTTTGCATTTCCTTCACCCAAAATGCATCCCCATATTGGTTAGTTTATCCAGAAACTTTGGTTGTGTTTGACGCTTCCCACTTTCGATTGACATCCTTGAACATGTCTCGGTCTGTTGGAGCGTGGGGCGCACTGAAGTATCTGGGTTGCCGATGCACATGCCTTTTTCACAAGCCCAACATCCACAACCCGTCAAATTCTGCGATTAGGCCAGTCAAGTATACCGTAACTCTGGTGTATCCCTGAGCCAGCATATGCAGCCTGTTAACTTGGCTTGACGGACCCGACACAGTTCCACGTTCAGGGCATGGTCTGAACATGAAAAGGCTACCAGCGGCTGGAGGAGTGCTATGCATTCGGTTTGGATGCAGCCGTTGCCAAACTAGGTGAAATCTGGAAAGTATGCGGATGAGAAACGGGTTTGTCACAGACAATGCTCTAATCATGAGAACAGTTTGGTCCAACCCATAAATGGTTGACATTTCGTTCGCTATTGTTTGAAAGGGAATCCAAAATACAAAGGTGTTCCGCTTAATTACTTTTACGCATCCACACAACTATCTCAAAATATGGGATTTTCTATTTGTTGGACACTACAAAATCCTCAGAACACGTTCACCCAACCAAAGCAATATTTATGGGGCATCGTCGTTTTTATTGTGCCCATCCAGGTGTCAGGTTCAGCGTGCATGACTTCGAACCAATACGTCAAGCGGCTACCATTTTACGAGGGACATGGATTAGCAAATCCCAAATGGTGACCGTCCCATCATTCGAATGAGTGGTGGGACGGTCACTATCAAATGTCACCTCTACACATTGGATTGAACGTGCTGATGCTACGGGTGTTAAAGTGTAAATTCTCCCGTCAACTTCTATTCCAGTCTACCAATAAATTTACGACTAAGGTATGGACGCATAGACTGTTTATAAAGTCACTGAAAGCTCCGCAACAACCTTATGAGTAGTGCATTACATCGACAAAATTTATCGCGAAATCTCGAATATCGTACTAACTGAAACATTAACCAACATTCATTGGCTTAACGACACCATCGAAGAGATATTCAGCTGGGTTCCAGCTGAGCCTCCCGTCCAAACCAAACAGGTATGGTAATAGGTGTATTTCGATAACATCAAAGGCACTTGGCAGCTTTTTCTATCGATTGACGAAATTTCGACTCCTCTGAAGAATAGGTGTAAGCTTCTAAAGTTGTTGATGAAAACGTTTGGTAAATATGATGCCAAATTGTGGGCTTGGACAGACAAAACTAGCACACATGTTTCCAAACGCTTAGTAAAATCAGGTGCCTGTGAGAAGGACAACCTGATAGTCTGTACTTTGCGTCATGCCATGATAATAGTGCACAATCTTTTATATTGCTCACAAAGTAATAATCGGAGAATCCTCCAGGAGATTTTCACCATCCGAACTCTTCCAAGAGAATCAAGACGCGCTAGTGGACATTGTTCTTTCATACCACGAAGGAATACTGGAGGAAGCTGAACGTAAAATACAGAAAAAAATACATACACCCTCCGCGCTTTCCGTCAAGTCAAACATTTCGTTTAGAAGCCCGAAGTCATCCTGAAAACGAGCTTGTCTGTCAAGCGAGTGATCGGACACGTACTTGGCGACGGAAAAATCTCGTGTGAGAGCCTCACAATCTGGTGGGTGTTGGAAGGGCTAATCGCTCCTCGATGAGGCAGATGTCCTCCCCATTTGGGACTAACTTTGTCTGCCTCCTTCAAAGCAGATAATACGGACCCGTCTCTCCTAAAAAGGCTTACCGTGTGACTGCTACATTTTAAATTCACTTTGGGTCTCTGACTATGCGACGACTATTATGGCCTCTTAACATTGCACGAGTAGTATGATTGTTCCACTACTCTCCTTCAGCTTTCTACCCAGTCACTGAACTGCTGGTCTGAGAGAGATCGACTTTACTCACGCTATTCTTTAACGTCTACTTGCACTTCCCTCCAAGCACCTTCCTTAATACAGGGCACGCAGGTAGCTGCATCAGTTTTTACAGACGAGGGTGCTGAAAAATTTCAGAAATGTTACATTAATATGTCTCAGTTGCGCACTGAGCGCCCGACTAAATTTGTTAGTCTTGAGTGATAGAATCTCCAATAACCGGAAGGTCGCACCATCAGCTATGGATGTTAAACCATGGGCCAAACAACAAAGCACAGTCTAATAGATATAGAACATCGGTGACCTTCATATGCGGTCACAGTTTACTCTTCACTTAAGGACATTGCGCGTACTGGAACAAGTTTTCATCCAGGACGTCAGTATCCATCATCTATACAGCGCTGACGACCTAATTCCAACTTTCCAGATGTCTGACCCTAACAGATGTGCTTGAAGTAACCTGGGCAGCGGACGTCACAGGAACATGTAGACAAGTAGTTTCGCACAACTGCCCCTTCTTTGGTTAAACAAATTCGCTTTGCAAGTTTACCGTTATTAATACTGGACAGTGTTAATCATACGGATGCTAATATAATCCCATCTAATTCTCTCCAACGTTTACCGACGCCATTTAGACTTACAAGGTGTAAGATCAAACACTCATGGACTACCACACTGTATAGAACTTGTGCGAGTTTAACAAGCATTTCTAGTGATGCGGGCTGTCACAAGGTTCCTTTCTTAGTTGTTAACCAGACATTCCGAAAAGATTAGATACACTCTAGACTCAACATCTTTATGTAGCTCACTTACTCACTAATCGTCAGAAACGACAACTGCGAACATCTTTAACAGCAAAAGACTTGAGAACATCAGCGATAAACGGGATGTACCGCATAACGTATAGCATTTACGGTACTATATTCATTCCACCACACGAGTGTGTTCGAGACGTACCCATTAGCCTAACTAAAATTCCTGGATCAGCACGCGATGGACAATCAGTATACCTAACCCAAACATGTGTAACACCTGATCCCGTCTTGGAGTGTCTTAAATAGTCTTGAACATGTAAGGTCCAGGCCAGTGCCGCATTATTTCGGTGAGCTACATGAATACCACACTAACCATGGATTTCTGGCGATTGTTGTCCTAGAGATCGCGCCACCGTGGAAGAAATATTTCACAAAGCGTAATCGCAGATGATATTTAGTCCATGATTGAGAAGACACAGAAGTTGTTTATGATCACAAATGATGGCACCATTGTCCCAATGTAACCTGACTACAGAGCAGCAGGAGAATAGATGAAGGGCAGAGTAGGGTAAAACTTATCAGACAATTCAATTCACTGACTGCAGTATCAATGAATCGCATACAGATCAACAGTATGTTGTCAGTGATTGTGGAAGTACTTGAACCGAGATAGTTCAAGACAGAGGTTTTATTCAACCTAGCTGCTTTGCCATTCGGTTAGTTCATATTTCTCACCTAGAAAGGTTTTAAAAGCTGTGCATCAGTCTGCTGCGTCATGGCTGATCGGATCGATATACTGGAGTAGTGCGCGCGCGCGCCATGCCTTTATTCTACCAGACGGTCGAAGTTTTAAGGCTGTTTATCGATTCCGATGATGCTATGGGTGGTGGTCAATCTGCTCAGCGGCACGACCAGGAACGTCCAGGGCGACGGCGAACGTCGACACACTGACATGTGGGAGTCAAACGAAGTTACGGCCAATTGAATTGCAGCCTATAGATTAGAGGTCTGGTCAGCCGAAGCTGAACCAATCAGAAAGCAGCTGGCATCTCAAGCGCACTTGATAACGGATTTCTCTCTGTCCAGCTGTCTAATCGACAGTCCTGCCTACCGGGAATGGAAAACACACGACAGTTGATTGTCGATGGTGCTGTTCTCCGCCGTCTACTCGCCAACACGTCTAAGAACGGCGGACGAAACTTCGCAGCCGGGGAAGCACCATTCAGCTCTCAGTGCTGTTACACAAGCACACCAACAACCGACTGACCAGACTCAACCAAACACAGAATCAACCGATATTCCAAAAACAATATGCTGTGGTGATTTTTCAATTGATACGGGTTTGCAACAACCAAACTGTCCAGCAAAACCATACAGTAAAATGGCCTCAATGTGCTTTCCGTTTTCCTCCGATCCAAAGGAGTGCGGAGGGTCGTTTGCTAATCCCGATGTGTATACAAGTGCTGGTTTGGTTGCCAACGGTTACGCACGGTTTCGAACACACTTCTGGATCGATCGCGCCCTAGTGTGGTTAACGGTGTTAATTCCGGTCGTCGAAGCTTTGGGATTAATTGCATTGCATGCCATTTTGGGTGTGGCTCGATGTGTTCCCAAGACGATGCAGGCTGAGGCGGACACCCGACACATGAAGGACTTCTTTGATCGCGCATGCGGTTTACAGCTGACGTCGAACGTGCTCAAGGGCGATGTTTATCAAACAGAACTTTCCTCTAACCTCGGTACTGTTCAACTCCAACACGAGTGCTACCCTTTCATTTTATTAATGGTTGCTGTGGCAATGTGGCTTCCACACTACCTCTACCATCGTGCCGTGGATAAGACTGCTCGGAGAGATCTTTGCTTGGTACGCTCAGAACTCCATAGCTTTCGACGAGCAGTTGGACAAGAGTTGAACTACCTCCAAGCTATGAGTACGGCCTCCATGGAGGGCGTCCCGACAACGGCACTGTTCTCCCCTGGATCCACTATACCTCAAGCACAAACACTACCGGCAACAGTAGTCCGCCACGCGACGCATGCAGGACCTCCGGCATTTATGCAGCAGGTTCCAAACAGTGGACGGACGACCGCCGCTACTGTTGGTGGTACGTCACTTTTATCGCAAACTCCAGCACCCACTGTCATTCCAGCACTACAGCCCCAAACTGCCACTATGGTTACCAATCGTGGGGCCCTGTTGCCCCAAGCAGCCGCAGATCCATCTCCAACTGCGCCGGCGCTGAACTATGGTGATGCAGACTTCTCGGCTCCCGGCCTATTAGACTTGCCTTGCTTCCACGCTTGCCACGCAGACTGGTCATTGAACACCTATTTGAGTGCTTGGCAAAACACGGATTTCTACTGGCGTCGCTACCTAGCTAAACATGTTGTGTTAGCAACATTTCAAGTACTCACCACGGCGATTATTTTTCTACTAATAGGACTACATAAAGGAGCCTTATTCACACCCCTCTTCCACTGCAAACTTGGCATACACGGTAACATGGTACCGGCCGTCTGTATGCTTCAGACAACCTTCATTTTGAATATGTCCTTTCTCTGCTGGGGTTGTTTTGCTCTTTCCGGTCTCTCCCTACAGCTGGCATACTTCTACTCAAACTTTATTCGAATATTCGGTACCCATAGTGGCCGTTACTTTGGTGTGACCAGCCGGCCAACAACATTCATTACTGGATTGGACGAGACAGGACGATGTTTCTTTGCTGATTACATTCGTCTTCTGGCCTACACCGCATTTCGAGATACGCAGTGTGAAATACGAAACTTGTCTGTCAGCTACTCTCCTGAGTTGTATCGTTCAGACTTTCATTTTATCTCGCTACTTTGTACAGAAAACTCTCACCTCCTTCCCGACGCTATCCATATTCACTTTTGGACGGAACGTTATGCTCGACTTTGTAGAAGACGTTTTCGGCGTCCCTATTGGGCTATGCGTCGAGGAAGTCTGGGGCATTTGGTTCGGTGTGAGGACCTCTCAATGCGTTTCAACTTCAGCAAAATTTCTGTCAAAGTTGAGGTGAACGATTTCGGTTTTTAACGCTGTCAGCTGTGGTGGCTTTTATTTTATTCACTTAACTATCTCAGGTAAACCGTTCTTTTATTCCATCAGATTCTCTTTTGTTCTATTCCGAAATTTAGTTCTTTAAAAGCGTTCTCTCACATTGCTGAATATTCAATTTATTGTCCCGTGACCCTCTTAGGTGTATTATATTACCAGCATTACTACCTTTTTTCGACCGATGCATTTTACTAGGTCATTTTAAAGTTGAGAGGCGAGCGCTTTGTATATGCGCATACGAATATATCGAAGGTTTTTTAACCTACTCTTTTTCTGATGGTAACTAGCTTTGATGACTTGCACTCAAGGCAGGATAGAGTTGTCCGTAGTTTTTATGTCGAGAAATTCGTCACCGATTTCACAGCAAGGTAGTTTTTGACGAATCCTACCCGTAGAAACAAACCAGACTACTTATCCATCTGCTTTCGGTTGTATTGAAATGCAGTCAAGCTATGAGGAGCTTGCCGGGCCACCCTGCACAGAAGATTGTTCCTCACTTGTGTATGCACTGAGTTCACATCCGTGCCATGCCTACGGTGCCAAACAGACTGGAATCAATTCCTAATTGGGGCGGTCTAGTGGGCCTGCTTTCACTGGCCATCGAAAGCGACATGCAATGCTCTATAGGAGACTTGGATCACATGACATTAACTGACACACGGGTCTCAGTTCGCTTGTGGAAAATTCGCCAGTCCGCTGGGTACGCGGGAGAGTCATTGGGCATAAAATCAACCCTCAGGGGCAGCAACACTCGAATCACATTGGGCCCCTAGAGCGAACCTAAGTGTACACGCTCTACTCATGCAAAATAAGGGATGTCCTGAGACGGTCTTGGCATGATCAATTTAGAGACTTGGTGAGTATTGAGGTATTCCACTAAACATATGCATCAAGCACAAGCTATTCACACGCAGTTCCTGAACGAATATTTTATGAAGGGAGCACACTCCTGTAAGATGGTATAGGATGATCACGTTTACTATTTAACGCGAGGTCAGAGTCTTGGGTGGAACGCACCTGAGCTAGTAGGCCAGACGAAAGATTCAAGCATTCCTTCCATATGAACGAGACAGCAACGACAGATCTTGTCGGGACTGAAGCCCAGTAGGTCTGCCTTGGTTGATCTGAATTCACAAGCAATTTCACTAGTCAACGTTAAGCACTGCCTTGTGCAAAATCTGTCATTCGATCGCGCGTGTATGAGGTAATCGATAGAGATTGTTTCTTCATTAATTTACGATTTCGGAGCGAGATGGACCAACTGGTTAGAGCGCAAATTTACTGACCGTAAGGTTCTTGGTCTGAACCGGACCTGTGCCACTCGACTTCCCCTGTCTAGGCTTCAACAACCTGGCAGTATCCCAGCCCTTGTGGCATGGCAGCTAGGCACCGAAAGGGCGCTACAGCTGAACGATTTTGTTTACGAATTTGGTCACTTATTTGGCTGAGTCCTTCATTGGTTGACTTCTACCTTCAATGCGGCACTGATTTTGTTTGCCCAATCAGCTGTTAGACCTAATGGCCTTAATTATTGGACAGTAATTTTGATAGCTCTTTCCAACTGTTCGAACAGTAAGGAACAAATCCTCCTTGCTTGTTTTTTGTCTGGTTCTGGCTGAAAGACATTGATAATGAGTTATCTCCCTCCCATATTCACTCGACCAGTTGCCGTATGGCGTTATGTAAGTAACCCATACAAAAGGGGTTGCGCCATCCTCCGGGAAACTCAACCGAATCCCAGCCGGATCTCGTTCATGATAATCTTCAACTGAATTTGCCGCACAAAAGCTACCTCATATTTTGGTTGGTATATTACTGGGGAGATCGCAGTGTACCTTCTTGGACTGCTGCAAGGTTGTTGGAGACGGTTCCGATAGTCCACGACCGCTTTCGCCATTCTTGTTGGTTTGGGACCGATTTCCAACTGTTGGCTGATGAAATTTCCGCAACCACTGGGATACTTTAAGGTGGTTGCATTCAGTTGATGACAGTTCTCTCTGCGTACCTATGCTAAAGTATTTCTCGGGTATGAACAAATACTACATATATATATATATATAATGATTCGTTTTTGACCAGGTTTTAATAGACCATCACGTAACATGTGTAGACGACTACTGGTCGATATTCGCATTTTTGAGCAACAAGTGCAGACTGAATTAAACTTGTTTGATAGCGTTATTTCTTACAAAGAGCGGACACATCTGAGAGCCTCGCGTAATGATAGAAATGTCAGCACATTGATAATCGTACAGACCAGAGTGAATGTATGGTTTTCCGGGTCAACATCAATAAATCAGTTATGAATAAGCTTCGACTGCTAGGTCTATCCGATGAGCCCCAAATTAAGGTGGGCTTTCTGAAAATTCACTGATCTTACGAGTAGTATTGTAGTAGTAGTAGTAGTAGTATCGGTTAGATCTTCAGTGGGACAGGAAAATTACCCCGAGTAACGGCATTGCTACCAAAGACCATAATTTGCGCATGTTGTTTCCGCTTATCAAAATACCACGGAGAAAATGCTTCAGCAGATTACCTATTTTAGTGAGAGAGCCAGAAATGCCATCTGCAAACAGATGCGTAGCTTAGCCAGAATGATATAGCATTGACAGCACAATGATGGTATTCGTAGCCTGCTGGTTATTGGCTGTGGAGTTCCTTAGGTGGTTTGACAAATACACGTGCTGGCTCCTCTTGTTCCAGAATTTCTGTAATCGAATCAAACACCGAAATATTGGCGGCTTGATCTGGCCAGTGATAAAAAGTCCTTCAGGAAAATTATTCGACTTGGCTTAACCCTGGGTATCGAAGAGCAGACTAAAAAAGCGATTTACCATGCTTACATGGTAAATCGCTTTATTGTTCGGGCATATCACGACTACCATGGTCACCGGGCTCTGCCATATTTACCGTGTGCACGTGTTCTTCTCCGGTTGGTTGGTGGAAGAGGGCTCAGCTACTGAATTCTGTTCGCGTTAGAGCAACAGCTGTAAGTTTTAGCGCCCGGAAAACCCTGCGGAGTCGAAGAAGAGAAATTGCCACCACTTGGCTGTGGTCTCGCTCAATGCATTCTGATGTACGTTCTGGGCCTGAAGATCCTCCACAAACATATTTACGAGGTAATTGCAGGCAGCATCCGTGACTTGCCCGAGCCGAATCATGTTAGCTATGCGCATACGTCGATCCTTCTTGTTGTGTCATGATATTGTTCGACAATTTTCCTCCACCCTCCATTGCACTAACTTGTTTCTGTTAGTTGGTCAAGGGACGAATTATTGCTTCATCGAGTCCGGATCAAATACTGTCTACAAGCAGAACTGCGATATTTCGAGCAGAGCCCACAGTTCTCTAAAGAATGATGAATAAATTTCAGCCAATTGCTGAAGGGTGTTGTATGGATTCAAAAATATCGTCACTGAAATGCAGTATGCGTAGTCATCCTAGTGCCAGGAAAAGCTTTTGCAAAAACCAAATTTGACTTCCATATTACAGGTAGACTAATTTAGCAGCTTTTTCAAACGGGTTTTAGCCAAATCACATGTCTCTTGGTCTGTTGTCTTTGTTAGGGTTGAATATGCGGACCTCCAGCCCAGGAGAACAACAAATCGCATCATTAAAAGCATGATTTGGATTACTTCTGACTTCCAATCAATACTTACGTCTCCATCTCGCTTGCGGGTATATGCGCCATCCCAAGCACGGATGACCTTGAAGTAATAAATCACGCGAATACCAATGTCCTAACCGCGGTGGCTTCGCGGATTCTCCCAGACACACGAATGAGTAATGTTCGTTCACGCTTCAGCAACCCACCAATTAGGAGAAACTACTCAGCGAAATAATATGGGTGTAAAGATTTACGACGGGATTTCCACTAGCAACATCAAGATGGTGAGGTTTTGCGTGCCGTCTGCGATAGCACAGCACGCTTGTTGTACGGTCTATTCATTTAGTTTTCTTCTCGGTTGATACACACACTTGTTGCAGAAAATGGCTTTGATCCTTGTATGTACTTTCTACAGGTTGACGACACAGATCCACAATTGGGGTATTTAATGGATATCATCATCCCAACGACTCATTGTAAGAAATTCATTGATTCAGTGTCCCTACATAACCAAACTGACTGAAAACGGTTATTACTCGTCGTTCACTGGTGAAGTGAATAGCGCATTTGCCAAGCACGCGATCCATTAGTTTATTTTCGTGTTTGCTTGGACTGTAAAACGGAATATAAACCAACTTATTTTATTCATCTGCCGATAGCACTGCAAGAAATGGCTGTATAGTCGAAAGAACAGTTAGCACTTCTTAATGAGGTCATCATAGGAATTCCTGAGTTGGAGAGGGTATCCGTGCTGTTTTGGCATTTTACGTTTAACTTCTTTTAATATCCTCTCGTGATATGAAAGGACGTTGCCCACCAACGTGCTTCGATGTTCCTGGACAGGTCAGGATACAGCAGAGCTACTAAAGAATCCTCAGGTTGCTACTTGGATGATTGTGCACTCAGCTANATCCTCAGGTTGCTACTTGGATGATTGTGTACCCAGCTATCATGTTGACATCAGGCAGCCTAACCATTCAGCCCTTAACCGATGCACGCAGCTGAGCCAGCAGACTTAGCTACGATCTTCAAACCGCAATCTCACCCAGTGACTTCCAGATGCTCAATACCAATCCATAGAAGTGAAGCTTATGCAGGGCTAGCAGTGTAAGTATAGACAGATATAAGTTCGACCGACTGCTTTACATGACCTAGAGCTCTAGAAAGGTCACAGAAAGCAGGAAAACATCCACCAATTACTGTTGTGCATCTAAGTTGTCAAATAGACCCCTGAGTGCAGAGGAACACTGTTAGAAAAGGGACTCAACTTCGCTGTGAGTGGAGGACAAAATTCCCAGTGTCCAATCGGGGTTTCAAAAGCTTTCCTCAGCGGAAGCTGGGAAGCTACGAGTATGATTGGTCATGGTCCTAA